GAGCAAACAGTAAAGATCAGGAAAACCAGTATAAGCAAAACGAAACTCTTCCTGTGTGGCAGGGACCTTGGCATGTGGTCTCCTACCTCTCCTCTGAGAGTTACTGTTAAGCCATTCTGTTGTAAGGAAAATTCAAGAAAGGGTAAGAAACACTGAAGAGAGCCCAGAGACAGTAACAATATAAAAGACAAAATAATAAAAGTAAGATTTTAAGAGCCAGGCAACAACGTGCACTGGAAAACACAGCCTTTTCACCTTCCACCTTTATTCCTCTATCATCCATGTAATTAAACACAGTGCAAGCAAGGGAAACTCAGTTCCCACATCTGCCAGCAAATAACGATGCAGGCACCAGGGGGCCTCAGTCTTTCACTAGCAAAAGAGGCCATCGCATGGCCTATTCACTTGGTGATTAACATCCTTCCAGGTCGTTGTTTAGCAGAGTTTAAAAATGTACCCGTAAGGAAAAAGAGATAGGAGCAATAGAAGGGGAACACTAAAGCTGATCTGCACAGAAGTCTGTAATGAACGGCCTAGAATGCGACTCCAACTCAGTTTTACTACTTGTATGGCATGATTCTATTGGGGGAAAACAAAAAAACTTTATGTTACAGAAGTGTCATAGAGGGAAAACGAGTGATTCACAACTGAGAAAAAAAAAGGATTAGTTTGAGATATTTTTATCAGCTACACTAGTAGGTAATGACAGGTTTTTACAGTAACCCAAGCTGTTTGAAAAGGAAGCAAAGTTCAGACATGGAACTTTATGATTTCCTGGATTGTTTGATTGTAATTCAAAGAATTCTCTATCATCTGTTTTCCTCAAAGTGATGCCTGCAAGTGAAGAAAACTATTTAGAGTCTTATCCTGTAGGGTTACAAATCAATGTGTCCACTCAAATGGACTTCACTTAGACCACTCAAATTATATATATAATCTTTCTCCTAGAGACCCTGGGCTTGTAATTGCTAGCATACTCTAAATAATTTTCAGATGCTGTGTTTTGCATGTCTGACAACCAGATGAACTCAGAGTGATTGAATTCACATTTTCTACAGAATTACCTTGATTTCTTTTATGTTAAAAAAAAAAATCACTAGGATTACAGCCAAGTTGTTGCAGAGGTGACTATAGAGCAAAGTAATAGGACTGTGAGATAGAGACAATTATGAGGACAATGTGATGCCCAATCTATTTTACATTTGGGGCAATTATAGCTGGATGCACCTTAGAGTTCCAGTCAGTACACTGATCCGAGACACAGAAAACAGAAAATACTCTTTTGCTCAACTCCCTGAGAATCATCAGAAAGCCTGAAAATGTACAAGCACCTAGCAAAGTAGTACTCAAATTCACATCCTCTCTTTAGAATTGTAATTTACTTGGCTACCTGCAACACTGAATCAGAAATATGCAATTACTGTAACTAAGGTGATATCAGGCCATTTTGCCTAATGACACTTGATCTATATACAAGACTGTAGTTCATTTAAGGACTATGTGCAGCTAGCTAGCTATTTGACTAATGATATTGACAGAGTATTCATGGTTTAAAACACTGCTCATGTCATGCTACTTGATGGTATACCTTGGCATCAAGGATTAAGCTCTGTGACAGACAGACCTGAAGTCATACTGTACTTGGCTGTATTTTGCTCCTGAACGTTTTGGTAATGTAAAAGACTAGACTGTCTTTTAAACATCGCACAAGATGGTAACACTAACAGTAACTCAGAATGGAATAAACACAGAATGTGAAACACAGACAAAAACAGAAAACAAGAGGTCTTATCTCTGATGTAGCCTTCAACTACTCTTGATTATTTCTACCTCCTCCATATCCATTACTGCAGCACCTTCTCTACGTGGTAGGAACCTGGGCAGAGCGCACCGGGTCTCTCCCCTAGCCTCTTTGCTCAGGTTTCCTATCTATGTAAATCAGGGAAGAAGATGGAGAGAGCTGATGGCCACAGAAGCACAGCAATCCTGTTAACTGTGCCCCCTGCAACAACTTCACACACGTTTGCATCTACTGCCTCAGAATCTGCCTCCCTTGCAGTTGCCTCCGACAGCACCCCCATTCTCCTTTCTGGGACAGATCTGTATCTCCTACGTGGTTGTCCTGCCTTTTTTTCCTCATGTTGAAAGCCCTGTACTATACAATTCCTCTGTGTGCTTCACATGTCTTCTAGATATCCCACCAGAGGAAGAAACAGGGGTTGCCCAGATCATTCAACATCACCACAAACACAGACTGAATGCTGGTAAATAATTAAAAAAAACAAAGGCCAAAATATGTAATTCTGGCTACTTGTGAGACCAACAGTTTGTTCTTCACCCATCAGTTTAAGAATCTTTCTCAAGGAAAACACCAGTGCAATACAAAAGACGAATAAATATTACTGCAAGCCCAACCGCTTTGCCACAGAACGACAGCAACTGCTCACTCATTCCACAGGCAGTTGGACCTTTTGGTAGTGGAACCTCAAAGCCATCAATAGGTTCATTTGGAGGAAATAATATAGGAATCCTTCCTTCATTTTGCTAACATGCTGTCCCAAGCTTAGAAATAAGATAAAGGACAGTTTTCAAGTGAGGCAGAATTTAAACAAAGGCAGCAATTCAATTACTTACTAAACACACTTTTGCCAAAGCCCCAGCTGGGGACTTGGATTCTGGAGGTATTATTTACTTCATGCCCGGAAGAAAAGTAGGGGGCTTTTCACAGCTGTAGTCTCTATAAACAAGTATTTCCTACTTGATTTTTTTTAGGTAAGATCTTCATTTTATAGTGCAGCCCTAATGTTTCTTCCAAGCAAGACACTATAAAATCCTACACAAAATTAAGCTGCATTTAAACATACGATAAACTGATTCAGTGTGAAATCGTCAATGAGGGGCCATGATCCTCTGACCCTCTAATAATCACCTGTCATTCTTAATTTTATGCCTGGAAGTTAAAATATAATTTGTTGTGACAAAATTGTGCAATTGAAGAATTGCAGAGTAAGCACTTTGCCAGCTTGGAACAACACTGGGCAGGATGCTGGGTTTCAGCACGCCACAGCGGATTTTCCCCACATGTAGATAGCTCTCCAGCTCTCCAGAGGATAAAAAGCATGTAGGAGTTTTCAAAAACCCTTCAGCATGAAAGGTTGCTGACTCACCCCATCAGTTCATCAGAAAATCAGTACTACTAACAACATGATTAATTGATTTGCTCCTTACTATATTATTGATAAAACATTACTAAGGTTCTTGTGATCAAGTATGTTTGTTTGCTGGAAGATCTAAGTGGAAACATTTCTGCTACATTTCCCTGTGTAGCCCCCAGCATGGTTCAGTACAAATCTCCTGCAACTCCACACAACATCTTAGACTCCAACAACTCTGCTTGTGGTCGCACTGCCCATCTTCCCACCAGGTAGCTGAAAAAGTTAACTGTACTGGAAACTCAGACACCACATATCACTTCCTTCTGTAGGCACCTTGTTTAATAGAATTTTTTTAAAAAAATCTTTATTGCCTGTACTACAGATACCTGTAGAGAGTGTAAACTTTAATATTTCACCAGATATGCAAATAATTCTGGAGAAAGAGTTATCAAGCACCTTCATTTCAATGCATTTTTGGTATTTACAGTAATACATACCTGATTAAGTGTATGAATAAAATGAATTAACAGTTATAAAAAAAAGTTATATAAAATAATTTTAAAGTGTTCTGTATAGTTTGTTACCTTTTATGATAAATATATAATTAAAGAGGAAGTTGTCACATATTTAAGACCCAGAATTGTCTCTGTTTATAATGTGAAAACCTAGAGGAGAATCACCCAGGGACTGTAGTGTCTGAAGAGGGGAAATGGGGATGTTAGTAGCTAACTGCTCAGGCCACCAGACTGTAAGGGGTAGTGTTCTGGCAGAAGGCTCCCAAAGCCTATTTTGGTCTGTTGTTGCAGGTAAGCTGCCCTCCCAACACAGAGGGTGGACGGTTAACTTCTCTCCCAGTTATGTACCACTATTTTGATATAAGAATATGCATTTTCATTTTCCAACTCCATAGAGATAATAAAAAACATTTCACCTTTGCTTTGATTTCCAGTATAACTTTTTGCTGTTACTGAACACTGGCATATGAACGGGATACCACCATCACTTATTTTGTAAAGCCCTAAGACATAGAGGATCTTCTGGAAAAATCACATTTTTAACTGCCCGTGGTTTCTCATGGTCTATGAAAAGACATGTCAAGTTTGCTGAAGAAGATAAATGGCTAGGATGAGATTCAAAGGCTTATAATACAGGATGAAACATAAAAACCTTATCACAAAACCCTGAAGATGCAAAAAAATGTGCCCCTATCTCTTAAAAAAAGTTAAAAAGCCTTCAAATGAACCAACACCCAATCTTTGGCAAACAATCAGCAATTGAGATCCATATCTAAAACCTGCTAGGTGGATTTTAGGAAATTACTCCAGAACCCACATCAGCCAGGTGAGAAAAAAAAAAATCTCTTTAAAACCAGTGTACCCTGTCAGCAAATGGATAAGGCACTTCTGTAGCACTCACAAGAGTGAGAAGGCAAGATTCAATTTTGAAAATTGGAGCATGCTGGCAGTGGAAGCAATGCAGTTAGACGTTAGATGTGTGTAGTTATTAGGTGTTCTCACCCACATCTGTTCATCCCTGGGACCCACAGCTGTTTCTCATCTAAAACTAGGGCCAGCTGCACTTGTGCTGGGCTAAGCATGCCTCTGTGCTGATGAGATGCCAGTCTCGGGAATGAGTCACACTGTTCTATTTTGTACTTTAATTTTGCCAAGAGATCCTGCCTTCTAGCCCAGCACACGTGCTGCTACGCCACCACATTCATCTTTAAAAGAAAGAAGACAGAATCACTAGGAACAAGAAGCAGCTGGACCCAACCTGGGCGGCCCAGTCTTGCCTAACTGGTACAAAGTGGTTATTGCTAGTGCGTGTGGCTGCACGTCTCTGTTGTGGCCTGGTGGAGCACTTATCTTTAGGGTCTGACTGTGCTGACAAGACTGAAGCATTTACAGTACATTTCCAGAAGGAGTCTGCTGCTCAAGCTTGTTTTAACTCTCAGTTTCTTTCTATACAGTCCACTCCAACTGTGTTGTCAGGGCAGCGGCAAGAACGGCCTCCTGGTGTCGCCAGACAGAGGTGAGTACAGCCACCATTATTCACCGTGCAATAGTTATGTCCTGAAAAAGAGATGTAGAATGTTAAAGAACAGCAGAATAAAGTGACAAAACACATCTCCCAAAAGTGTAGATTTCATGACTACATTAGAGGGACAAGTCATGCTGAGGTCCAGAGTGAAACTTTGGAAGATAAGAGTCATCATATCCTTTGCATGAACTTCTGTTTCACCTCAAAAAAAGATCCAGATATTTGTGAAAAAATAGGACAAGCAAAGTAAAGAATTTTGGCTGTTCCTGAAACATGCTTTATAAATTGGCTGAGCGGTCACACACATAATAGAATGAAGAGATGGTGACTGAAGAAATATGGAAGTGAAACAGAGGAGAACCAAGTCCAAAATACTACAGGATATCACCCCTGGACAGCAGCCACTACAATTACATAGAAGAATGATCGATTAAAACAAAAACAAAAAATCTAGGGGAAGTGGAGAAGAACATTAATGTTGAGGGATAAAATGAAAAAGACAACAGTGATGTGGAAAGGTGATAGGAAATCAGAGAGAAAAAAAACACTTTAATAGACATATGGTGAGAGGGAAGTCCCAAGGTTCTGAATAATACAACCTAGTTATTTACTCAGAGCAAAAATTGTCATACAGTGCCTACCACAACAGAACTGTGAATTAACCAGTAGTAACAACAACAACAACAAAAATCTCAAATATGATGTTCATAGAATCATAGAATGCTTAAGGTTGGAAGGGACCTCTAGAGATCATCTAGTCCAACCCCCCTGCACACGCAGGGTCACCTAGAGCACGTGGCACAGGACTGCGTCCAAGCGGGTTTTGAAGATCTCCAGAGAAGGAGACTCCACAACCTCTCTGGGCAGCCTGTTCCAGTGCTCTGTCACCCTCACTGTTAAGAAATTTTTCCTTAAGTTCTTGTGGAACTTTTGATGCTTCATATGCCTCTTTTTTATATTCTGAATGAAACATTCACTTAAATTATTCAATTTGTATAATAATAATAATAAAAGATATGCAGATTGAACCCAAACTAACTCCGTGGTTTTTTTTCTTTTTTTTTTTTTTTTTTTTTGGTCTGAAGTAAAAGACCAGATCCCCTACAAATCTAACAGCACTGGAATAACAACAATGCAGACTTTTCTCCCAACTGCAAATTTCTAAAAACAATATAACTTGCAATGGTATTGCTTCCAAAAGAACAAACTGTTATTTCAAGACTATCAACTTCCTATCTTTTAAGCTTCACACGAGACTTTTCAATAATACATCTGAGAAGCTTAGCGTTCACAGAGCAGAAGGATCAGCCTGACCACCTGCTGTTTTCTGAACATTCCTGTTTTTAAAACACTGGATCGCACATCCCAGGACATCCGGAGACTATGAGGTTTCTATAGTTTTATATTAAGAATGCATAATTAAAATACGTAAATAAAAGACCCTAGCCATGAACATAGCATTCTGTTTAGATGATGGCAATATAACAGCTTTTGTTACAGGAGATTTTCACCTTGCTCATAATCCTCATTTTGATTTTTCCATAAAGGGCGAAACAGGTCCCTTGCCCTTGCCCCCTCACCATTCTGGTTCCATGGAACTTCTGCTTTTATGGAACAAGTTTCAAGTGGTTTTTGACTTCTCAAGAAATAAAAATCGAAGCAATAATCAGCTCCTCACTAACTACCTAGACTGGTCTGCAGGACCCTAGTGGGTGCTGCTGATAAATCATTTGCATGCTAAGGTGCTGTACAGCTGAAGAAAGTTGAGAAACATCTGGATTACCTCCTGGGCACTGTGCAAAGGCTGTAGTGATTCCATAGAGACGAGAACGCTTGTGAGGCTGGAAGTTATCATTTTCTATCGAAACTGAGCGATCCACAGCTACAACAGCATCCCTTCAGTAGGTAGGAGAGAATATACGGAAGCAAAATGAACTTGAAAGTACACAGACAAGAAAAAAAAAAAAAAAAGAAAAGGTGGGGAGGAGAGGAATCTAGAGCTGGTTTTTGTCATGATTAGGCAGCAACTTCAGAAGCAGAAATCCAACAAACGAGACCCCATCTTTCATAGACAACTCAAACACAACTCTTATTCTAGGCAGCAAAGAGACCTAGCTGCAGGAAGCCCCTTCCAACATAGAGCTGCATCCCTCTAAAGGAACACAACTCAGTACTCGCAGTGGCAGAGCTGACATTAGTTATTATTCATAATGATTATGAGCGATGTTGTATTTCAGCTGGAGCCTGATAACCAGAAGACAGGAACACAGCTATTCAGAAGCAGTCATTTCTTTCTTCTAGAAAAAGCGCAGACCACTGACAGAACTGTAAAACTGCTTCCCATGTATGCAAGAATGTTCTAGAATGGTATTTCAGAGCTATTTTCTAAGCATTCTAGCTTGGCAAGTCTTACTATTAATAGCTCTTCCTGCTGCAATTGATGGAAGCATTTGTGTAGCAGTTTTGCAAATACAACTCACATCACTACAAATTCAAGTCAAAATATAGATTTAAAAACACATGGTTTGTGAATTTTTTGTAGGAATTCTAATAAATACTAATGTCTAGAAGTTTTAAAACATTTTTGATGAAGAGTGTTGTCAATAGTAAAAATGTCTTTTTCTTGTTTCTTGTTGAATATTCAGTTAATACTGAGGATAGAAAGCCTCAAATGAATAATTCCTGCTTTCTACATCACAGTAAGGACAGCCAGGAGGTAAACATGTAAACTCCCACTCCTTTCCCAAAACTGCTCAGGGTTAAGTTATTTTCTTAGAGGACAAGTCATTATGTTGATACCCCTTCCCCCCAGTTAACTGGCAACATCAGTAGGTCAACTCTGCATATTCACTCCACCCTGCATCAGCTATTGCCAGGAAAGGAAGGGAAAAAAAAAAAAAGAGAGAGAGAGAGAGAGAGAAAAGGAATGTGCGAGTGGTCAAAAACAAGAAACACAGTGTTTACTTCAATTTCTGACAGGGGGAATAACAGATTAAAGCATTCCATATTTTCTTTAGCAGATAACATACCTTCTCCAGTCTGTGTAGTATAAATTCTTCCCATAGCTTGTAACACTAAAAGGGTATTGAATTCCTTCAACGATCTTTCGCCGACCAAGCTGATTAGGGTTCATGCATTCCAGTCTCTTGGTGCCTGAATACAGTGAAACAATTAAGTCTTTGTACAAGACGAAGAGATCTCTGATGGGGGAGGAATGATAAACATAAGCACACAGGCACACACACAGCAAAACTTTCTGGAAGCCTTTCAGCACCCTACATGGACAAAGCCTTGCCCATGCCACAGACTGGATGGGAAGTACTTTGGTGTGACAGTGCTGCGCAGCACACCACCTAATTTACACGTACAGTATAGCCATGGCCATCACTCACAAGCCAACTCTCTTTGTACAGATGCAAGCAGTCTACTATGCACTTGGAGAACAGCATCAGTGAGCATAAAGAGCCATCAGCTTGTCTGAAGTAGGGGTTTTCAAGATTAGGGAGATCAGAAACAAAGGCAACTTTGCAATGAAAATACGACGTTCTGTGGGGCAGATTACACGAGGCAATGCTTTTTCTTGTCTTAAACTCTTATCTGTGAAGAGACAATTTCTTAAACAAAGGGCTAAATACTGTCTAAAACATATCCGTGTATAAGAAACATACACAACACATAAGAAACATATAAGAAACAGAAGAAACATAGATCTAAACCTGTCACGTGTTCCTAGAAAGTTGCTTAGTCAGAATCTAAATCTTTGAGTTTGCCCACAATGTCATGCAAATTCTAAAATGCTAGTAACAGTGTGATTACTAAAAGCAAAGAACAAGGTGTGAAGTCTTTGATGCAGCCCAAAGAAATTTGGGATTGGGCATACTTAAGCCTTCTATTATTATAAAGATATATTTCATCATCTCTTTACCTGCATCTACCCAGCACAACATTGAGGAATAAGTATCAAATGTCAGCCCATTTGGTAACCCCAGATCGTCTTTAACAAGAATTCTTCTGTTTGTGCCATCCATGTAGGAGGTTTCAATTTTGGGAGCTTCTCTGTTCCAGTCAGTCCAATACAAGTTTCTGAAGAGGAAGAAAAAAGGCAAGAATTAAGACAGTGATTAGCTGCAAATGATTTTGTTAATTTAAGAAAAACTCTAAGGAAACAAAAATAACAAAACAAAAAAATTAGTTAAGGCCATAAGAACTATATTGTGCTTAAATAGAGAAGCATAGTGAAGATTCATCAACTGTTGCAGTCTCCATCAACAAAACAAAAGAAAAAAGAAAAGAAGCACATACACATGTGTGTACATGCACACGTGCGCAAAATGCTTTTGGCAGGCATTTATGGGATTCATTCAAAATTACGTTTTCCTTTTCAGTGCACCAGATAAGCAACTCACAACATACCTGGTCAGAGTATCTTATGGTTTTGAAAAAAACCTCTGAGTGATTAGCTCATTAACGCTGTAGTACTAACAGCCTTTTGTTAGTGACTGTTTTTAGTTTGGATGCACTTTCCGAAGTAACTGAGAATTAACAAGGCCCACAAAGCAAACATCTTTGTTGCTCATTATCTAACACTGAGAATAAATCTATGGGGAAACTGAGAGGCCTGTATTGCTTGCCCTGAAGCCCGAGCTCTGCCAGAGTCAATGTAGTTGTGCACAGAACACAGGTCTCCCCTCAGGCTGACTATGCCTGTGCCTCTCCTCTCCCTTCACACAAGTAAGTGCATTTCTCTTCTCTACCCTGCTGTCATGTGATGCTCAAGCACAGATGTTTTCACCTTATCTGACTTAGTTGAAAAGTTTATATAATTATATAAATGAGAGAAGTCAGTACCTCTACTTTTTCATTTAGTTTTCAATCATCTGCAAGTTCAAGTGCTGTGGGCACTGATTGTTTGGTTGGGTTTTTTTTTCTTCCACTACAAATCTTGATTCCAAACATCTGGAAAGAGGATGCATCTTCCAAAAATCTCTCACTGGACAATATACCACATGTGTTCACAAATGAATTCTCACATAACAGCATTCCAAATGCCTCACATCAACTGAGTAATCATTTATTAGAGCTTTCCAGAAACTCATGACCAAAAAGGAAGCCTCTCTGCTGCTGTGCTGCTGAGTATTTTTGACTGAAATGTCTCTTCTCAGAAGTGGCTTTGATGCAGAAAGTTGCACCAAGTTAATAGCAGACAAGTTCAGAAGTTAATGAACACCTATTCAGCATTATAATGGGTGTTCTATTTGGTTTAATTTTCCCTGTTTTTGTTACAGTATTCAAGAAAAATAATGTCAGCTGATCAAAGACTACAAAAAATATGTCTGTTTCTGTTTTTTCAGACAAGGTCATAGCCTGAAAAAAATGTAAGTTGTCTTATTGAAATCCCACAGGGCCATTTCTGTGATTGCACTTTACAAGGCCAATCCTATAGTATATAGTTATCTGTATTTTCAGAAAAAAAAAAAACACACACACACATTTAGTAGAACCTTTTCAGGCAGCTGAATAACAGGAATGAAAAATGACAGAAAAGATACTGCGGGAGTTTTTGAAAAAAGGATATTGTACAGGAAGCATGTCTAACACTAGGAAAACGAAAGTATCGAGTTGTTTAATGTAGTATTTTAATCCACTAATCTTGCAAAAATAAATTCTCTTAAATAGGGAAGATGCTTGCCATGCTGTAAACAACATACAGAAAGAAACAAGCATTTAATAGTCCTTTCAATAAAATATCATGGGATTGCACTGTTGCATTTTAAAGACATTTTATTTTCAATATTCTACTTAGATATAGGCCATTGAATTTATTCAATTTCTGTTTGTTAGTTGTTTTAGGAAAATACAGTCCTATTGCTGTCTAAAGACAGTCTAAAAATATGGACATTGAGTATATGCTCAAATTAAAGAATTTTAAAAAGCATTAATTAAATCAAGCTTTGCATGCATATCCTGAAAACATATTTATACCCTCTCACTGGATCTGCTACAATTGCTCTAGGGTTCACGCCATCCAGCTTAGCCACTTCTATTCTATCAAGTTGAGAGTCTGTCCAGAAGACGTTACGACCTAGATGATCCAGAGCTATTCCTTCAGGGCTTCCCAAGTCTGCAAAAGAATACAGAAAATAACCTTAGCCATCATATTTATTCCCAATATCTGGTATCAGCCTCATAAGCACTCCCAAGCTTTTAACTGAGAAGAGTCTTCTTTCCGTTTTCTGACTGTGGTCCACTTCGTATGGAAAATGTTAGCATGTCAGAAGAGAAGTGTGTATTTTGTTTTACAAAGCTGAAATCCTTGCAGATGCCTCCAAGGTATAAGTAAAAGGTCTATAATCAGAGAAAGACAGCAAATCCCAGTTCTAATACGTACACCACTACCGAACACATCAGAATCTTGTCTAGAATTCTGGAATTAAATAAGTGGTTGGAGCACTGGAGTGCCTCGTGGCCTCAAGAATAGCAAAATGGTAGGACAGAAACCATGCAGCAGCCTCCCCAGCTCCTCTTTTCTTCCACTACATGGGCATAAGTTTACTGGGCCAGTGGCTGGATGAGCCTGATGGAGCTGCACCCCTCCATGTTCAGGGTCACGGTGCCCAGGGGCCAGCCAATAGAATCTGTGTCTGGCTAAAGGCTTCCTCGGTCTTCTTTACACTATAATTGAGTTTCACCAGTGTCTAACCCAATTTACACATACATTGCTCTGCTACACTCAGACCCTAAATTTGACAGCAGAGACAACACAGCAGAGTTTATCAGAATCTTTCTTTACCCTATTTAGTAAGCCAGAACATAGAATGGATTTTATAATTTTTAATGCTCCCCCATAAACATTAGAGGCACCCCTCTGAAAATTGAACTTATTCTAATTTAAGCCAATGCAATACTTGAAAGATAATCAAGTTCCAAAGCACTAGAGATAATGACAAGTGACATTAGCTAACTGATGGAATTTAGAGTCATTTCCTTGTTTTTGCAGAGGAATTTTTTGGAACAAATTTTGGAACTGTATGTGCACAGCTTTCCTTGGACAGTTAGCTGTTCCAAAAGCAACAGGAAATATCAAATAATGACCTTACTGCTTTAGCCTTAGTAGTTCCTAACTCAAATGAAGGATGTAGAATAAATATATAGCACATGAAGGTTTAATTCAGCCAATGCAAGAACTGTTCTATGCTTTTCAAGGTCCATATATTCATTGAAAAAGAACTAGTAGGTAGGTGATATATAAAGACACCAAAGGCAGGTACACATAATTTTTTTTACTCCAGTTCCAGTTCCAAAAGAAACAGGAAATACTGCATGTAGTCACTTCCAAACGACGCAAAATGACCCTTCGTACCAGTTAGCTGTCAAGGATACCTTGAAATGCAGATCCACACATTATACAAATGTCCATGAATGAGGGAATGTAGCATGTTGGCCTTCTATTACTTCTCAAGCTTATTTACTGATAGCCATCAAACACATATATGGCGGATAAACTGCATTTCTGGAGAAAAGACATTTGAGCCAGAAAACTGGATGCAGCTGTCTTACATTTGCAACTTTATTGTGAATAAGTTGCAGAATATTCTAGATAGCCTCTGCTTTCTCATCTGGATAGATTAAACTTGTCCTGGACACACATCCTTTTGGATGCCTGTCTGTTGTTGAAGAGGTGAATACAAACAGGATGTGCACAAGTATCCCTGCTTCTGACTCTCAGCTCGCACATCAGGGTAATGCTCATCGGCTCTCTCTTTACTCTTCTCAAGGGCACTTAGGCATTCTTTAGCTTAGGTGCACTGGCATCACACTGCTGCTTTTACTTCCCCAAGTGCCCACGTGGAGCTTCACCTGCCAGCTGGCAGGAACCACATCACATGCAAGCCAGACCCCGTTAGGAAGTTCCTATCTCCTCTGTGCTACAGGCAGGAGCTGCTGAGGAAGGCCTCATTTTGAGGTGAGGGCAGGGACAATCCCCAGACAGCCTCTGGGATGAGGAGATCACCCAGTGAATGGTGGCAAAACAGTTCCCAGTCCCTTTCAGAAACAGAAGGTGGCAGCAGGCAAGAGATCTGCTGCCACTGGTGCACAAGAGCCTGTTCCCTGGCCAGCTTCCTTTTTCAGCTATGAGCCAGGAGAGTTAAAAAAAAAGTCTAAGGAAAATTTGTTTCCTGTCTGGTTGACAATCAGCTAGAGAAACTGGCCTCTGTGAAGAGGGAAGGCAACATACAGGCTTCATATATCATCACCTTCCACCTCACCATCTTTCCAGAGCACAACTGCTCTAAGGTCAGCTCCTGTCACAAGATCTGTCCCTGGGAAATAGACAGGCTTGCACAGATATGCGTGGCTGGTAAGATTTAAGGGGAAAGCTCTCCTTCCAGACCTGCCTCCACAGCTGCAGATCTCAGAAAGCCTCCACAGGCAATACAGCTGCAGAAGCTGATGAGACCTGGATGGGGCCCTGCAATAAAACATGCCTCTGCAAAGCAACCCAGCTCGAATCACAAGAGCTTAAACAAAAAAAGTGCATTCCACAAAAATACATGTGAACTGAAGCAAGCAGCTGCAGCTCACAGAGGGGAAAAGGCAAAGATCAGAACAAAGACAGAAATTCTCATGGGTCTTCTGAAATAGAGAGAGATGTTTTCCTATTTCCTAAAATTTTAGGAGTGTCAGTTTTGGCTAGCCATGTCCAGCAAAGACAACAATTCAAGCGCTGGGTACTTAGCCTTGCATTACTCTGACTCCTTATCAAAGAGCCAGTTAACATTTCATACGGAAAATAAAAAGCAGTAATTAAGAAGAGAAAAAACAAAGAAACTTAAGTTGCTACCTGTTTTGATGATGGTTGTTGGCTCTCCACCGTGTAAGCTAGCTCTGCTGATTGAAGGGCCACTGATGTCTGTCCAGTAAACCATCTTCTCCATGCAATCATATGCAACTCCAATAATAACTTTGTCCTGGTGGTCAACAAGCAAATTAGCAGAACTCATACTAGATAACAATTATTTGCCAGCCATACTAGCTTATGGGTCTAAATCTCCTTGCCTGAAACAACATTTGTGGACAGACTTGGGGTGGGGAGGTGGGCAGAGAAAAAGTTAGGATGGCTAGTCATTGCAAAGTAACTTAGAGAAGTACTTTCAGTTATAAGTCCCTTTTCACCAGCAGACACCATTTACAATTATTTTGAAGTGGTATTGTGCATATTAGTACTGAACTGCAGGTCTCAATTCTTCAATTTCATCTGCATATCCTTCTAAAGAAGGCTTGTAGTGTTGTTTTATGTGTTGCTCCTCATTGTTTCTCTCTCAATCATTCTTTGACTTCAAGGAGAAATAATCGCTTCATAAACTCTAACTGCACTTCTGTATTCACCAATCTATGCACAATGGCTGCATTTCAGTAGTGCTACCTATATAACATAACTGGGCTCAAAAAACACTCTAGCAATGTAAGTTTTAGCAGTTTATCAGTTTACTCTGTAAAATAAATACTCCATAAACCATACTGCTGTAGTGAATATGCTCAGAAGTGTGGAACATGCATACATAATAGTCTAGGCAGAAGAAAGTGGGACTAAAATTTGAATTCAAAGTTGAAACACTTTCCTCAAGCCTCTACTTTCCTCCTTCCAATGAAGGATTTCTTGGAAAAACACTAATTTTACATTGATTCTTCAACCTCCTTTTTCCTCTGGGAAAAAGATTTACCACCCACTGGGCCTACAAATGGATACAGGAACATGAAAAAGAAAAAAGAAAAAAAAACTATATATCCATAGGCAAGAATTACAGAGTATCGAGTGAAGAAACAAAGACATCAGAACTTAAGACAGAATTTTGAGGAAGCGTGAGAAAAAAAACACCTCATTAGTCTTCAATAACAACAGAAGAGCTCTTACAGGTCTCGAAGTTTTATGTCAGTTAGAAATGAACAGAAAGCCGGTGAAAGTCTGAGTGTAGCAATGTTTGTATGATGAGCTCTTGGAGGCATGAGACATCACAAATATTACATTTTTAATATATGATACATTCTTTCAAAGGCAGATTTTTTTTTATATAGCTCAGCTTTACAGTCCTTTATTAACTGGATCAAGAATTTGCAATGACAAACTGACAGGATACTGACATTTTAATGCAAGGTAAAAACTGAGTTTTGAACTTAAATAATCAAATGACACAGAAAACAAAACCTCTTTCATCATCTTTTCTACAGTTCTTTCCACAACACATGGCCCGTTATAGAAGACTACTTACTGGAATATGCAAGAGTGCTTTTGCTCCGTTTTTCTTCATGTTGTTTCCCTCTAGGGGAACATGTTCAATTTTCCCACTTTGGGCAAACAGCAAATGTGTTCCAGGGGGGAGAGGTATTGTATCTGGTCGAACAGAGGGCCCAATAGCAAGAGGAGGAGCAGCCGTGCTCAAGCCTTGTTGATAAAGAAAGAAAGAAATGGAAACAAAATTAGCCTGTACAACACCACAAGCCTCCATTCTCCAGGGAGGTGAGTTACCAAAGAGATGCAGGCCTAGGCATATGACCACTGAAAGAGCAGAGGACTCTCCGCTCCAAGCCGCACTGGATCTCCAGCGCGTAGCCAAGCCCTGCACTGGGAAACAACGCACTTCACACAGGAAAAAAAATGCTTTAACCACTTACATGGTGGTTGAACTCCTGGGCTGCTTCTGGTGCCATCAATTTCATTCCCATCCCTATCCACACACCAACAATATCCGGTGCTGGAATGACACTGAGTGGGGAGGTAATTCCCATGCTCATCACACTGGGGAATGAATTGACCAACTCTTGGGAAGAAAGTGCCTCCGCTTCCAAGAGCTCGTTCTTGTTCGTGCTGACATTTGGTCTTCTCCACTTCTGTGGAAAGATACAGTTCCATGAATACTCTTATTTTAAGCTAGTATCTTTGTTACATTCACAACATATGTACACTGAGCAATTACAACACAAGCATTTTTGTCTCGAGAGGACTGTGGCACTGTTACAAACCTTGAAAGCAGCACATGCCTTCAGGGCACCTTCAGGAACAGTCTGCCTGACATAAATGTGAAGCTTCCTATCCAGCAGGGTTCAAAACAATCCCTGTCTTTTTCTCTGGGGACACAATAGCAAGAAACGTGTAAATGGAGCTGAACTAAGTTTACCCCAATGTCTAATTGGTTTGTGTCTATCCATGGGTCCTAAAATCTAACTAATTAGTCAGGTGACACAATGCATAACGCTTTTATATATAGTTAAAAGGGGAGTCTCTGTTCAGAGTCACAAGAGAAAGTCATGACAAGAGGCTGATGCCAAGTTCTTTGAAACACTTGAGAGTTGTGACAACTCATTGCTCTGATGCACACTAGGACTTTGAAAGTTTGGGTATTAAATTTGAGCATCCCTTTCATATTTTAAGGAAAAAAAAAGATTCTTCAGTGCCTGGTACACACAGAAACACACATAAACAGAGAAACATAAAACACACAACAGCTACGTCACCTGCATATGTGTGACTGTAGCGATTACAGAGGAAAGATCAACTTTCAATCATCAGGAAATTAAGGGATAATCAGTTCTTTTGGTTTGAATTTTAAAACAGTCTTGTCTGAAAAAAATACATATTTTCATATCTATCTATTTCATATGCTATTATCTTTCAAGAAATAGGGAACTTGATTTTACATCAATACATCCTTCCAGATGCCAAACAGCGTGATGAATCCAAGACATTTATTAATATAACCTTTTCTCTTCTCAAGTTAACCAAATCTGGGTGAGTTCAGGGATCTTAAGTGTAATGTAGAAGTGCTCTGTCCACTGGGAAAGAAAGATGTAATTATGGAGCTTATCTCCTTATCAATGATTTCCATAGGCCGTTAGAAATACCTCTGCAAAACATCTGCAAAAAAAATGAAGAGGCTTAAGCTCTCCAATTCCATTTATTCCTTTCATGCTTTTATACATGGGCCACATTGGTGGGCAGCATTAGCTGTCTGTGGCTCGGGCCACAGCCCTCCGTGTTGAACACAAAGCTAATTCCATGTGCCTGCAGACGACTGCGGTGCAACAGTCACACAAATACAAAACAGCATAGTTGGGGGTTTTATTATTTATTTACACTAGTTATGCAAGCAAAAGCTTTGGACAAGTTTCATGCACCTGGACGCAATTAGAGAAACACAAATGTCTAGAGATCAGCTCACTCTAAACAACTATTTGGCCTCAGTTTTAATGTGGGTGGTTGAGAGCCTTGAGAGATTCTACACAATCAGACCCCAAAGGATTTATTATTTACCTCATACTTTACTAGCATGCATTCAGTGAAATATGTAGATACAAATATTGAATTGCAGTAATAGATAGAGCCACACTGCTTTTTTAGAGGTCATATTACGTGCGCTATGCCCATGAGAAGGCAGAAAGAAAGACTATTGGTAAATTGACCCCATCTTGTTTTTGTTTTGCAGTCCATCTGTATTATCTTTGAGGCACACCGTTCGCTCTTCCTCAGCAGGGATATAAAAATAATTCTAGAAGTGGACCATTTGTCCTGCCTGCCCCCAACTCCCAGAATTAGAAAATCTCAAACATCTTACAACATCTTACAATTGCCTTACAATTTTTCAAAATAAAAAGACTAGATGAATTTTATGAAAAAGGAGTTAGCAAGTACAAACTACGCAAACAAATATATTAACTTTCAGCTAGGAGCAAGCTTCTATACATAGAATACACTCCTATAATTAGGAAATTGAAATTTGAATAGACATCAGTATTTTAGGACATAACTCACATTTATATCTGCAGATTTGAAACAAGAATACCTGCAGAAGCTTTGAGGAATACCTATATTGCAATGATCAAACTCACCTCACAAACATTCTACTTATGCAATTCACCCCACTAAAGTCAAAAAAATAGACAAAATCTACTTCTCTAGGAGCCTGCGTATTATGTGTTTTCTTTTTTAAAAGCCTATCAGCACAGATTTTCCACTGCATAAGGAGATGCTAAATACCTATTTCCACTCACTTTCAGTGATAACTATCTTACTACCTCTGCTGCTGAAAGTTGTTCTTACAGATATTTATCATAAACATTACTTATGATATAAAGTAGAATATGTTGTCTTCCTTAAAGACTAGATTCAGTAGATTCAGTTTTCATTAGACTGACTAGTTTTAGAATTCACTAGAATTACCACGTTCGTTGCATAAACAAGATCTCACACATCCTACAGCAGCATCTTCCCTGCACCTTTAGCAAGGCTGTGGGATGACATTTTTGCCCCTCCTGATGCAGCCATTCCCTTGAGCATGTGTCAGAAAACACAAGAAGACTTCTTAACCTAAGAGTTAGGGTGCTCAGCTAGGAGTGGGGAGCCTAAGTGTCAGTACGTAGATGATAGCCACAGTCTTTGAAGTAGAGAGATATCTGATCAGTATAATCAGTGGATTATCCAGTGGGTAACTCATGTTATCGTAAAGTCGACACTGACATCTGGTCAGCTAAATCAAGACCTGAATCAATTGCTGCTTAGATTTCCAGTCACTATAAAGACAGTCTCCACATCTAGCTTAGAGACCCCTGAAGGAAAGCAAGCTGCATCCTAGCCCAGCACTGCAGCCTAGGAGGCAATGGAAGCACAAAAACTTAGATACAGGCGACAGCTGGTTGTGATAAGGAGACTGTTTATGTAATTACACATTTTCTCAGTGCTCTTACGACAAGATGGTCTTATTACGCAAACCTTAAATTGTTTTAATTAACTGTCTGAAATGAGGCTAGCTATGACTGAGTTTGAAGGATCAGATTCACATGGTAAATAAAGCACATTACTTCTCCTCAATGAGTTAACAATATGAAGTTTGACATAACATATATCAAGAGTTGGCATGTATTTAGATCTCACAGGGACTACCTTGTAATTCAACTTCCAGACAAACATTATGGCGAGCATCTTTTCTTGCCTTCAGCACACTGGTCTGATAAAGGTACTTAATGCTTTCCCTTTAATATAATCAGCCATATTTCATCTAATCATAGTTCTTCAGAGATACAGAACGGCTCACATTAGGAGAGTTTTCTGGTCTCTTTGACTCCTGCATAACACAAACTTCCACTAACTACAGTAGATAAATATCATTTGCTCTTAATTCCTAGTATAACTGTGTTCTTTTATCTACTGCTATTCTTGACTCTTGAAAATGGAAAATAAGTCATACCTATTTTAAGGCTCCATTTGTATTTCTATATGGTATTTTACTTGGGCCTACAAGACAGCATTATTTTTTAAACAGAGTATTACATTGCAGGTTACCTTAATTTGGCAAATGACTAAAATCTGAAAAACACCTAAGTCAATGGGCAAATATCATAAAGTATCTTGGTATCTTTAGTAAGTTCCAACCTTATTTTGTCTTGGTTTTAAATTTTCTTATTAGATATTTAGTTTCTAAATTAGGATTCTGAAGAAAAATCGACAACTACAGTTCACATGATTTGTGGAAGACAAATAGGCTGCAAAAGACGAGAACTACAAGACCCAGTGACTAGATAAAACAAGCTCACAAAATCAACAGGTCATTTCACACAGTCAGATGACAAGGTATGCTTTCAGGAATACCCTGTATAGATCAGCTTCTGAAGATGAAGACACATGTTGGAAAATGATGACTATGGAAAGCTAACAGAAGAAAGTCAATTCAATGCAACTACCCAGCTGAATGCCATAAGAAGTGTGAGGGGGCATAAAAAAGAATTCAGCATCTACATAGGCAACACTGCACAGGTATGGAGAAGCAAATTATTATCATCTCACATGCAATTTGTGAGATCATTCATAGCTTACTGTGTCCAGTTCTGCTGTCTGAAGTCCAAGATACCAGTGAAAATTTAAACCAGTGTACGGAAAATTGCTCCTAAAAGGGAAGCCCTAGTTTAAAACAGGGACTGAAAGCCAGACAAAGAAGTAATGTTTTCGCAGAGGGAATTACAGTCCAATACATTATACCTATCTCAATTATTTAGTTTTGTGGTATCCTTCAAAAATCTGTAAAGACCTCATATAGCTACTCAAACAGATTTACATTGAAAAGTTAAAACTTCAGAAATGTTTTAAAACTGTATCTGAAAATCAAAGAGTACTTAGAAATTTCTCATGTGGATTCACTTCATTCCTCACATATCACAAGAAGTAATACTAGGATTTTTAACTGCTGTTCTCAGTTGTTGCCAAAAAAACAAGACATAAAAAATAACACACTTCCCTCTGTCCATTCATTTTGCTTTGGAATTCTTCTCTTACAGTGTTGTGCTCTCAGAGCATTTCTCATGTGAAATGGATTGTATACAGACTAACAGGACTACGTATGGCTCTTAATGGTCATACCCCCAGTCCAAGAATCTGGATTTGTTTCTGTTTAGTAAACAGTGTCTGGGGTCTGCAGGGGCAGAAACACTCAGACATCTGGTTTTTTGAAATGGAAAAATGAAGCGTGAGGAAATAATGAAGCACAGACATTCTTAATAGCTGGAAGTAATGGGACATTCTAACATTAACTCTTTCATTGACCCACTGGCTTTCTCTGGAATTACTGTAATGCTACAGATATTTTCCTATAATGTTTTCCCTACGAGAACTGACAAATGATTTCTAATGCCAAAATCAATAGTTTTTTTGCAAAGTTCTGATGCAAGACCAAAATGTGCAACACAAACTCAATACTTGCCGTGTCTACTTGTTTTAAGAGTTCCTGTTCAGCACTGGCTATATTCAACAATATATTTCATAAAATAATAAAGATGCCCAAATAAACAGCAATTGTGCAGCAAAACAAATGAGTATTTGGATGAATTAAATTTTCCGTGCTGTTAACCAGGATTTCAGTGACTTGGTTGAGGCTAATTAGATCAAAACCTTACTGGATAAAAAAGGGAAGAGGAGCCTCTAATTAAAGCTAAATACAATAGATTCTCATCTGGAAGCTCCATCCTCGAACAACTTGCTTTGCAAGTTAAGTGCTAAAAATAAACTAAGCTGCTTTTCATTAGGCTTCAGAAAGTACATTTTGAGTCCAGCTACAGGAAATGATCAACTGCTAGATTGTTGCATACACGCTTGTAAGAGTACATGCTGCCTGAGTAACAGATGACATCCTAAGGGCAGCTATTTTTCCATGACCTCTCCTCTGAAGGAGCAGCTAAGATTGTGAACGCTGCCATTGATGCAAACTAGTAGAGCAAGAGCATTAATCTCCTGCATAGGGTTCAGCAAAAGTGATATTTGTCATCTACCAAGTTTTGCTGGTTGCAGCACTTCATGAGCACAACTGAGGCAAACATTTCTAAAGCACGTTCTACTGGTAGAGCAAAACAGCATTAACAAGACAGGCACGCATGAAGATTAACAAATAGTTAATATAGAAATACTAGGTTATTCTCCATCACTAGCATTAATATGAAAAAACAAGCAGGCATTCATACATAAAAAATAAGTTAAATAACACCGAAATACTGGCAAAAAGTGACAAAACCTACAGCTTCAAAACTAAATGCTGCAAAACATCCCACAAACTACACCCTGCTTTTTTTTCTCTTTTTTTGCCTTTCCAATGAATGCGTTTTTGCCTTTTTGGTTCAAAGCATTAGCACCCACTTGTGCATACAGCAAAAACTTCAGAATTAGGGATGATGGTGGCAAACAGAGGAGCAAAGAAAGAATGTTCCAGCTAGACAGCAGGTAGTGATGTTTTATCATGCAGACAAGCACGTTTAGGCAAGCATTCAATTTTACATTAAAAAAATCCTATGTTAAAAAAAATAAAAAATACAGCTTTGAATTACCAAAGACTTGGACTAAAAAGACCTGGGGCTTTGAATCTGCTCAGAAATAAGACCTAATTTCTTGAATGAGAGCACGCACTGTTCTAGAAAACCTAAGTGCAGTCTCCTGGTTTTGCCATGCTTTTGAATGAAAGTAACAACAGCAATGCTACTTGGTGCTTAAGTGATCCTTACTTCTTATTTTCAGCATGGCTTCAAGATCAGGCGTTTAATACTTCAAGACCCAAACTGCAGAGCATACATGCAAGAACAAAGTGCAAAGGGATAAGGAAACCTCTGCTGAATAGGAAAAAAACTGAGTGAAAACAGAAACATCTTAGTGCTAGTTTCTAATCAGCCCAGTTTTTAATTAACTAGTTAGTTTTTCTGGACTCCTGCTGGTTATACTGGGGAAAGCAGGCATCTAGATACCACTGAAGACACTAATGCAGGTAACTCTGGTTTTACCCTTCACTTTACTCCTATAATTGTTCTTCATACATTCCATAAGACATCTAGAATTGTTGGTAGTGTACATGAAATGCAACCAATTATTCACAGAATTGGTCTGTCACCAAACGTTTATATAACGCAATCAGAAAATACCACCAGACTGGGACTAAGGACTGCTGGGAATAGAACAATTAAAACATAATACAGGGGGTGTCAAGCAGGAGAAGGGATAGCAGCCAAGAAACAGATTCTAACACAAGATTGGTGAAGTTCAAAACTTCAGAGACTGTGGGAGAACAAACAATAAAGACCATAACAAGAAAACATGCAATTTGATCCATAGAGGAAACTAACGTATGTCATCCAATTCCCAAATCATATTTCTCTTCCTACTTTCAAGAACTATAAAATTTTACCTCCTAACACACACCGGAAACCATCCCCACGATAACCTGCCTTACAGTGGCAACTGAAGGAACCGGGTGTGTTGTAGCAGAAAGCATCTGGATGACAGCGGCCCTGTTGACATTCATCTACATCTGCAAAATAAAAGAGCAATTTCAGATAACTGTTCTTCCTGATGGACAGCAAGTTACAAATCCAAGTAGTAAATTAAGTTACAAATCTGTTTTCTGACTTTCAGGTACCTATTTGAGGATATCCAATTGGAATTATAGACTTCAAATTATCAGAATTTGGAAGAATGTCTGTACAGAAACACTAATTTTAAAAAGTATGCATGTATTATCATTCTGACTTAAATTCCTGCACCTTCCTATTCTCAGATCAACAATGTTGATGGGTAACTGTTAACTTACAGTACTCTAGATTAACATGCCCATGTTTTGCAAAAAGTAAACTTATGGATAAACACAGTAAGAGGGTATGATTTGGCCAGCGAGATTTCCAATATGGAAAATAATGTAGTGTAGGGGGGAGTGTAGTGGGAAGCAGCCTTATCCGAAGAAATGAAACACAGCACAGCATTTCTACAAACTCAGAATTCTAAGCACCATATGTCACCATCTTAATATTATAAAACAGTATTGTACAAACAGTTCTAGCAGATGACAATCTGATCTGCTAACTGCAACTATTGCAATTTTTATACCTACCTCATGTCTGACCAACTGGAGCACAAATACTGAATAGTAAATTCAAACACGAGTGGAGGAAAGGACATGAGCTTAACGCAGTGCTCGTCTGCGGGATTAAATTACAACATTTCCTATTTTAAATAAGAAGTAACTACAGGACGCGGCTTGGTTGGACAACCAGCCAAACTGTACAATAAAGAGTATTAAAAAGACCACAATGAATAGTGCTACCCACCCTCACAGGCTCGCCCGTCACCAGAGAAGCCAGGGAGGCAGGAGCAGATGTAGGCAGACCCTCCTGTGTACACACACTGGGCACGCTGAGGAATGTCGCAGTTGTGTGTGCCTGTCTGACAGTGGTTTATAGTATATTCGACAGCTGCAGGTAACATCAAAAAAAATTAATTTCCCTCATCAAAGCCTGAAGCTTTCAGTACATTTATAGAGTGAGAACTGAAAGCATACAAAAGTTTTTTTTTTTTTTGACGTTACATATTTTTAAATGTTTTGAAAAGAAAGAGCCTCTCAGCATCTCAGAAATATTTGTTAATATGCAATATGGGAGAAAGACTACCACAGTCAAACTCTAACATCCAAGATACTTTTGTTCATAGAAAATGGTCCCAGATGAAGAAATGCAAGGCATTAGGTGGATTAGGAACTGGCTGGATGGCAGAGCTCAGAGGGTGGTGATCAGCGGTGCAGAGTCTAGTTGGAGGCCTGTAGCTAGCGGGGTCCCCCAGGGGTCAGTCCTCGGTCCAGTCCTGTTCAATTTATTCATCAATGACCTGGATGAAGGCACAGAGTGCTCCCTCAGTACGTTGGCTGATGATACCAGACTGGGAGGAGTAGCTGATACCCCAGAGGGCTGCGCTGCCATCCAGAGGGACCTGGACAGACTGGACAACTGGGCCGTGAAAAACCTCATGCAATTCAACAAGGCCAAGTGCAAGGTCCTGCACCTGGGGAGGAATAACCCCAGACACCAGTACAGGCTGGGGACTGACCTTCTGGAGAGCAGATCTGCGGAGAGGGGCCTAGGTGTCATGGTGGGTGATAAGTTGACCATGAGGCAGCAGTGTGACCTCGTGGCCAAGAGGGCCAATGGGATCCTGTGGTACATTAAGAAGAGCATCTCCAGCAGGTCGAGGGAGGTGCTCCTGCCCCTCTACTCAGCCCTGGTGAGGCCGCATCTGGAGTATTGTGTCCAGTTCTGGGCTCCACAGTACAAGAGGGATGTGGAGCTGCTGGAGAGAGTCCAGCGCAGGGCCACAAGGATGATCAGGGGCCTGGAACATCTGCCCTATGAGGAGAGGCTGAGGGAGCTGGGCCTGTTCAGCCTGGAGAAGAGAAGGCTGAGAGGGGATCTGATCAGTGTCTATAAGTACCTCAAGGGAGGCAGTGAGGAGGATGGTGCTGGCCCCTTTTCAGTGGTGGCCACTGATAGGACTAGAGGTAACGGCCACAAACTGAAGCACCAAAAGTTCCACAGGAACTTAAGGAACAATTTTTTAACAGTGAGGGTTAAGTGAGGGTGGAACAGGCTGCCCAGAGAGGATGTAGAGTCTCCTTCTCCGGAGATCTTCAAAACCTGCTTGGACGCCATCCTGTGCCACGTGCTCTAGGTGACCCTGCGTGTGCAGGGGGGTTGGACTAGATGACCTCTAGAGCTCCCTTCCAACCTTAAGCATTCTATGATTCTATGATTTCGGAGACACCTCACAGACTAGCTGAGTGGCCGGTTTGCTGCACTGGGAATTACTAGATATTCCACTATACTAGCCTAGCATTGATCCAGGATTGTTGTCACTCGGCAACAAATAGGAACTGTGACTCACTGAATGGGCAAATAAACATATCTGTCAAGTAATAGAGAGATTTTGACTAATTCTGGCAGCTGGGGCCTCCCTGCAGTTACTTCTCAGTGTTGGAGACTGTGGTATTTAAAAGAACAAAATACTACAGAATTGTTGATCCCAGAAGTGCACATGTCCACAGCATGTGCATCTAGGATCAGACTTCCAGCTACTACAGCAAGGAGGCACTGGGGCTTTCTTTACACAATTCTTAGTAAGAGCTGTCAGAGCACAGAGAGCAGGCTCTACAATGCTCTTTTCACCATGTACACAGATGGAAAACACCACTGTATTAGTATGAATGTTGCAAAATTTTGCAGTCACAGCAAGATCTGAAAACAGTCATTTTCTCCATTTCTCTGGAGCAAATAAGACTGTCTAAACAGCTGGTAGATCTGTTCTGCCTGAAGAAGTTTTAGACTGCAAAACTATTTATTTAGAAATGGATTTTAAAAGCACACATTTTAGAACTGGACTTCCTAATAAGTCCCCTAGTCTCGGTCTATAAATAGAAGAAGAGCATTTATTTACATCTCTCTTATGCCATTTGATGAGTCACAGAGCTGGTATGAAAAAGTTGCAGTTTTAGAAAGGCTGAGGCAGAGCTGGTATCCCAGAACAAGAAGCAAAAGCACAAAGAAGGCAACTGCTGTCTCTGCAGAAATTCAAGTTGTCTATGGGCTATAACTCCTCTCCTGGGAGATGGGCAACAAGAACATTTATTTTCATCCTGCTGGATGAACACAGTTCCTCTTCCATTTGCAAGTCTTAGGGATGCAAAGATTGGTTTTGAATGAAGAAAGGAATCAAACTGAAACCATTCAAACTAAGCAAGGAATTACGTAGCATTTGGAACAATTGTGTCAGATCAGCTTCCTGGGGAAGTTACAGAATGATGCCAGTGAGGTCATGCCTGAAGAAAATAAATGCAATACCTAGTAATCTTGAGCATGAGATGCAGTGAAATGATGACAAATTAATAATAGCTCCCATTATAATATCTTCTTTTCACAAATTTGAATTTTGCTTCTGTGGGAAATTTGAAGCTAAATAATGGTGCAGAAAAGGTAGAAGCATTCAATAAACCATTCCTTTTTATATCTGCATAAAATAGGAATGGGCAATTTTTATGAGAGGAAACCATAATTACTTTAGGCAAAGTTTTTGTATCCTAAAGTTCCACAGGAACTTAAGGAAAATTTCTTAACAGTGAGGGTGACAGAGCACTGGAACAGGCTGCCCAGAGAGGTTGTGGAGTCTCCTTCTCTGGAGATCTTCAAAATCCGCTTGGACACAGTCCTGTGCCACGTGCTCTAGGTGACCCTGCGTGTGCAGGGGGGTTGGACTACAGGATCTCTAGAAGTCCCTTCCAACCTTAAAGATTCTTTGATTCTAATAGGTTGTAATCAATAACTGCTGCACAAACTCCTAAACTCCGCTCAACTCAAGCTAGAGAGAGCACAGCTCCTACCTAGCAGCTCTTCCTTCTGGACCTGCGAGATGAAACACAACCCAGCGCCGCCAGGCAGTGCCGTAAGAAACCTGCTACTCACCCACACATGTCCGCCCATCTGCTGCAAACTGGTACCCGTCCACACACTCGCACCGGTAGGTGCCCAGCTGGTTACTGCACACGGCGTTGCTGCCGCACAGCGTCGGCTGCTCTGAGCACTCATCAACATCTAGATTATTATAAAGATTCCAGTTATTGCAGTGCTGCATTCAGTACGGGTGCCATAAAAGCAGAAACTGTGCAACTGTTGAGTAACAGATTGTATTTAATGAACATTTTGGATAGATCACACCTTTTACAATATATTAATAACCTGAAAATAAGCTTATAGGTAACTGTACTGTCAATTAATCTGCTCAAAAAACAGAAGAGGTGCTGTAGTGAGGTATTAAGGACAAGGAATAGGAAATCACAGAGGGACAAAAAGAAAGCATTGAGAAAGGAAATGCAGGCTAAAGATGATTCGTAATAGTGAGGAACGCAGAAAGAACAGGAGCTTTCTAGGCAAGAGTTCTCTTTGTTATCCACACATATCTGTAATCCACACTGCTGCTCACCTCAGGAATGGAACACTGGGAGGATGGTTAATTCATAGGGCATATGCATATATATATGTATATGTATACATAAATGTAATGAGTATTTCATTAATACATTTTCACCTCTCGAAAATGAGTGTATCTGTGCTGTGATCTCATCATGAAACAAAAAAAAACGTAAATACCACATGGCTCCTCAGTAACCTGCAAATTCTTTTTAAGGCCAGGAGACAACGAATACACAGAAGTAATGTATATTATGTTAAAATATGGACTAAACCAACACTGAAGACAAAAATCTTTCCATTTAGCTTTGAACTACATATTTTTGATCTTATATGCAATAACTAGGAATATTCTAAAAGGCACTAGTATACATACATGTGCTACTAAATATACATATATATGTATACAGATCACATGTTCAGAAGCTAAAATGATTTTTTTTTTTTTTTTTACTAAACAGTGCTACATAACAGTCACCAGCTACAGTTTAGCTAAAATTAACACGTGGAAGACATTTACTTATGTGGAGATTTTGCTTCACTGTGTTCTGCTGATAGTTGTGTGTGTTATATCTTGAACAATCAGGTTTTAAAAGCCTCCAGTAAGCAGGGGGCCTTTCTGGGACACGCAGAACAGATTAAAATATGAAAAGGAAGCAAACTTCACACTGCAAAGCAATCCTGGCTTTGTCAACTTAACAACACGTTTCATGCCAAGATGATAATCAAATAGAGAAGTGGAGCTTTATCTTTTTCTTTAACTTACAAAACATCTCTAAGCCATGTCATATACTACAGAGAGAAGATTTTAGACAACAGCAATGCTGTACAGAGCTGGAGAATAAAAGATTTCTTGAAAGGAAGTTTCAAGTTAGATCTTGGAAAAGATTGTTTCAAGATCCTACATCCCCTACACCTGTGCTCTGTATGCATGTGCACATGCCATTCCTCCTCTCCTTCAAGAGCTTCTAACTTAGTAGACTGGTTTTAACAAGATTTCACAGAAGAGTACAATTCTCACAGGTAAGTTCCTACTAGTTTTATGAGAAAAGGAATTAGGTATGAAAGATGCCTTGTAAACTAGCAAGAAATACGGAACTTTGACCCTGCGGCGGAATCAAATTTGCTGAATTTGGTTATTTAGATATGTCGAGTGTCCCAGCATTCCTCTAAACTAGCTCTTCCAAAACCAGTCTCTTAGGACTGTTTATTTTCCTGGAATTGCTAGTCCTAAAGGTCAATGCATTCCAAATAAACCAGATTCTCCATTAGCCGCCATTTTGTGACGAAAGACTTCTCATACCATAACAAACATGTCCGTCTCCATGGAAGCCAATGGAACACTCGCAGGAAAAGTGATTCCCCGTCCCTGGGCGACACACTGCGTTGGTGTCGCAGTTATGGGTGCCGGTGTAGCACGGATTCCGGTTAATATCAGCAGAACCATCTGACAAGAGAGAAAATGGTTAGCTAAAACATCTGTCCAAGCAGAAGGGCCAAGACACAGCCCAGAAGATCACTTGCAATGTGCATCCTGTGAGAAAAGAGAACACGTTTTGCATCACCCTGTAGGCAAGATGCAAGTATCAAATGTGACATCAGCACCTGCATTCCTTGTTACTGCTGCAAAAAACTGTTTAGCTAATAAACAAACAAAAAACCAACAAATTAAAAAAAATGAAGACAACAACTGGCCCTAGGCCCCAAATATGATACTTAATGCCCATTTTGGTCATTGTAATTAGCAGAACTTCATCACTGGAATAAAAATAGAGAGATAAAACAAAGAGCATAGTTCTTCCTGTGCTCATCTGGCAGACACATTCAAAGTGTTCATTTGCTTTCTTCTGATTTTTGAGCATTTTGGAGAGAGGAGGGGCACAAAGAAGACAGGCTCACAAGCAGCCATTTCAGGAATAGAAAAAACAACTGCAAATTAAGGAAACACACTGACAAAATGCTAGCAAGTTTACAGGCAGTTCCAATAAGACACCTCATCAGATGTCTTACTTTCAAAGATATAGTGTCGTGTTTCAAGACAAACTATAGAAATTAGTCTCCCCCATGGCAGATCTTACCGCCTTGTATTACCCTTTGTTCCATTCATATAAAAAAAAAAAGTAGAGGAACTGTAATTTAGATTAAGAGCAACTGTACATTCCATGAATCCAAGCAGCATTAGATTCAAGTTGACATGCAGAGAATATTTCAATTAATTGGACACTTAAGCTCCACTGAAAGTTCCTGGCTTTCACTAACCCAAGGAATAAATTAATTTAATTCCTTAGCACCCAGCTAAATTAGACTAGAATATGGGAGCTTGGCTCTTAAATATTCTCAAAAGAGAAAAGGGAAGAGTTCCAGTTCATACGTACCACTGATGGGCCCGATGGAATTACTCATTGCATATCGCAGAATCTGCTCGTCTCTGTTGTAGAGGACAAACACACTGTCCACCAAGAGCTGCTGGGTAGCAGGAGCGGCGTGCAGAGACTCCTCGTGAAGGCACTCGTCAAAGGAGATGGTCTGGCGCCACTGATAGGCGGCCGTGTACGAGGAGGCAGCCCCATCCCTTTCCGGCTCCGTCACCGTGTACTCCCTCGTGGACGACGAAGTGATCACTGCAGAATGGGAACAGACACAGAGGAGCTATTAAAGTACACCTATTTGCAAGCAAAAGGAGAAAACGTCACCTGACTAGGCTTATTTTGTTGTCAGGCAGCAAAGCCTTGAAGGATGTGCCATATAAAAGACCCAGATCAAATTTAAAATTTGAACTTTACTTTGTGGGGAGACACTTCCCCAGAAAAAACAGCCTTTCTACAGAGCACGGAGATGTTCAACAGCTCCTCTGAAACTCTGAAGTAGTTTGGCATAAAGCAGAAGTTTCCTGTTGCCTCCGAAATATCACAGTGCACATCAACAGCCCAAATAGGAAGTGGGTTCAAAACCGGCTGCTGAAGCAAGACCCTTGTGAAAACGGAGCAGCAGTGATGCAGCTACACCACTTGGAGCTGTCTCCAGGAATCAGAGCACACCCTTGGAGCAAAGTGTATTCTCCTAAGTATCCAAATGCACTCAAATCCTTGGATACAGCCCAGGCTGCAGCATCTTTGACAGAGGGGCTAGCTGGCAGGCAGCAGCACTCCAGCCACACTATGATTTTGTTCTGTTGAAACACCTGTGACTTTATCCAGGAAGAAGAAAGCAAAAAAAACAGATGAAAGCAAAAGAAGAGGCATTCTGCTACAAATGGTGAAATGAAAAAAATGGTGGAAAAAATGGTAATTAATGGTAATTTTCTTGCCAATCATTCATATTAAATTCAAATGATACTGACAAATGTTTGTTATCAGCACACAGCACGGTCACTGCTATGCAGCTTACATAAGGTCACTTACATGCAGCTTACCGGTGCATGAACAGCCTGTACGCTTTCACTGGACAACACCAAAGTCTACTTAATGACAAATCCCTACAGATAGCTATATCCCAGTCTGGCTCCTACTGAAGAGCTGTGGACACCACAAGAAGTTGTGTGACCTGTATGACTGCCATCAGCAGTTCACAGACAAGACCAATGGAAAGCGAATCGGGCATGTTTTGCCAACATCAGTTCAGAGAAACTGAAGCTTAAACTTGGAAAGTCTCCAATAAAAAGATTAGAAGTATTTGTATTGTCCCAGTTATAATCTACTTTCTTCCAGGACCTATTCCTCACAGGCGAAAAGCAATTTTGTATTAACTGAGGGGCCAAAAATACATCTGCAAAGAATGTAATCGAATTAGAGACTGTCTTCTTTCCACTCTGAGAAATGTACGCTGTCATATGATTTCATTCTTAGGGCACCTTACCAGAACTGGAAGTGTGATAGAGCTCAGTGTATGGTTCTATATGGACCGATGAACCAGAGGGAATCTCAGGTATTCTGCCCTCCATTTCTGTGCTGATGGTAAGGTGACCATGTTCATCAATTCCACTGAATTTCTGCTTGATAACCATCTTCTCGTTGTTGCCAAGAAAAGTTACTTCAGTTTGCCGTGTAAACTCACCACCTAAAGAAATAGTATTAGTTAAGTCACTTACCATGAACTTCTAAATCCTTCTATGAAACTGTTGTTTCTAGTAGCTACAATATAAACGAGTATTTTCTGCCAGCCTTTAGGCAGTCTAATTACTAATGCTTTGGGTTCCGAAAGAAATACCTTCCAGAAGCATATGGATAATACCCTCGGATACTATAAGCAAACTATCTTTTCTTAAATACTGAACATGCTGAAGTACAAGTAAGCCTTAAGAAGTAGTGAAAACAAAGTTCATCAAAACCTTTGATTTTGTAATATCTGTTAAAATGGGAAATTAGTTGTACATTTTAGAGAAAAATCTCAATTCAAAATACCTTCAGTTAAACAGATTCAGTACATTTATTTCCAAATCAAAATCAAATGAAACACATGTTGTAAATTACAGGAAGAAATTCAAACACACAAAATGAAAGAAAAAAAAATGCTATGCTCAGCTAACACGATAATCTAAATTCCTGCTACAGCACTGTAAAGAAGAAAAAAGAAAACACATGTTCTCCTAAAACAAGCTAAGCCTGCAGCTTAAATTCATATGCACAAAAGTAAGAGACCCCAGGCCCATACCTACATATGAACCTTAATTCTGAAATGTGGTTTCCTTCAAACAAGTTAAAAGAATCATTAGCATCTCATGCAGAAATCGCTTGTTTAGAGTTTCAGACCTTCAAGAGGTCAGACTCTCTGTGTTTTGCACCCTTGGCACAATCTAAGCCAGGTCTAATTAGATATTAATTCCCTGAAAATAAGTCTATCAGGAAAATGAAGTCAGCAAGAAGGTGAATGCACAGCTAGAGTGCATCTCTAGAAGAGCACTGGCAATTAACGTTAGACCGCTTGTAGATTACAGTCATCTTATTGCAGTAGTTCTGCATATTTTGGTACTAAAATGTCAGATGACTTCTAATAATCTCTTTCTTATATGGAAACTAGCCAATTTGTCAGTCTCCTCTGTAAGAGATTTAAATGCTTGCGCACTGATTGTAAAATAAAGATCCCAATATCTATATGGTGTAAACAGGAAAAAATTGTAAGTTTCCTGACAAAGCAATCCATATTCAACTCAGAACAGTAGTTTTTCACCCTGTATTGCAGATAAACATTTATTTTCTCTGAAGCCAGTTGAAATAACATTTTTAAACACTATTTTTAATTAAAAATTTACCAGTAACACTGAATCCATTCTTATATCCTTCTTGTTCCACAGCAAACATCCATCCTATGATACCTCCGATAGAGGCAAGAGGCAGTAAAGAATACCCCAAGGTCTCTGGGATCGTGCTGATGGCAGTGTAGGCACGTCCTTGGTTCATCACAACGTAGGAGTGGAGGTCAGTATTCTCAAAGACAACTGGAACTGGGTTATTTCCTACAAAGATTCTTCCTTTGACTTTCCCATTGACCCTCTGAGGAGATCCTGGCAAAAAGCAATCAGAATAAAATGACAGTTCTCACATATCCTCCAAGAAACATGCTCAGAGCATTCACTATGTTCAAAGAAAGATATTAACATGAACATGAAGACCAAAAACAGCAAACACGCAAAAAAATATTTAAATTGGCTAGAGGGGAAGCTGCCTACAAATAGTGTGCCAGTTTGGTTATATGTTTTTGTCATTACACGGTGACCGAGTGGCTGTAACTGCCTAAAGAGATGTTTGTTATCCTCATTAGCAATTTTTCATCTGTAGATAACTCAGTGAACAGACTAAGCTGTTACAGTATCTCTGGCCATAAGTGGCATATAGTAATTTCGGTGGAAAATCATACCCATACCTCCTGATTGCAAATGCATTAGAAGCATTTAACCCTATTAGAAAGCTAGCACCATTAGACACTTAGAATAACTTTGTTTCCTCTCTGGAAAAGCCTGCAGTCAGCTATTTTAGTTTTTGAAATGCATCTATAGTCTGAGTCAATTCACCATGAGGATTACAAGTGTATACATAAGAAATTCCTCCATTGATCCTATACAGGAACAAAGTGTAAACGGATATCTAACAAAAATCTGGCAGATTAGCCCTTTAATAAAGAAGCTTAAGAACCAGATGAAGGGCAGCCATGCTATTTATTTTGTTGATCAAAGTTAATTTGTTCTTCTTTTTTTAGCTGTCCATTTCTAGACTAGATCAGATTATAAAACATATCAGAATTCCAGAAATAAACACTGGATATTATGACATCAATTAAATTGTTTATTACATAGGAGTATGTTTATTCTAAAAAGTCATGCTAAAATGAGATGCATTAAATTGAACACCCAAAATAATTTGGTTATTTAAAAACCCGATCTCTTTTTTATAGTTCACTTCTTAATTTTCCTTTCCAATCATACATCTTTCAAGAAGTACTTTTTTTTACTCTTGAAAACAAGTCATCTCATTCAAAAGTGTCAGGTGTAATTGCTGCACAAGTGTCTAATTTTCAAAAAGTTACCTTCTGCTACACATTGTCTGCCATTTCCTTTGTACCCAGCAATACAGCTGCAACAAAAACCATTCGGATAGTCTTTGCAAACAGCATGAATGGAGCACTGGTGGCGGTTGTTAGCACAGGTCTGTTGGACATCCGTGTGGTAGCGGAACACTGTAGAAATAAGGCCAGCCATGTAAATAAACTACAGGTAGTAACTACAGTATTTGCATACCCTAGGTGCTGTTTCAAAATCCCAATAGCCTCAGTGGATCACATTTTTTGTTTTGTCTTTACGAAAAACAAACAATTGCAATTGACTTTTGCCAACACTGCAATATGCAAATAACAGTCCGCTACTTTTCAGGAAAACACCAAGGCTTCAGATGTTAGAAATCTGGGTAGTTCTATTGACTTTAGTGGATCTGTACTAATCTTCAGCAACCTAGAAACTCTCTTGGTGAAACTGAGCACATAAAAAGCTTAACATGTTCCAATTTCCAAATCAAAACAAAAACCAGCCTCACTAAACTCAGAACAAATACAGTACTTAGGAGCCAGTACCAGCTGTACTCTGTAATTCTAGTTGGCTTACCCCATTAATTCATACTGATGGCAATCTGCTCATCTAGTTCAAGGAACATTTAACATCTGGACAGTCAGTCATACTGTTTTGAATTTTCTATAAACACTCCTTTGGAAGTTAAATTTGCCAAACCTGTGTCCTTGTAAAACATGAAGCCATGAAACCCTAAGCTGACAATTTTTACAGCAGATTCTATTCTCAGCCTTTATTACATCACCTGTATGCAGCAATATGCCTATGCAAGGCAAAAAATAAATAGGTTTCCATAGAATTCCTCATAAAATCCTACCAGGAATAGTCAGTTAAGGCAGCTATTGAAGTCCTACAACAACAGTCCTGGGCAAAAAACATGGATAAAGCAGTTTCTACCAAGAATGTGTTGGATTTAAAAACAGCAGTATCCCCTGGGGGAGGCTTTCTTTAGGACAGACTTAGGTCCCACAGACCTCTTGCTCTCCTGTAAGCTTGACTAGTAGGATAAATTGACTCAACTGGCAGGATGTGAATCAGAGGTGATATTCGACTTAAATGCCTCCATGAATAACACAACCTCATTAAGCATGCACAGATTTTTAAATCAAGGGTAGGGAGAAAGAAACAGATTACTCTTTTTAATAACTCAATTTCATGTGCATCTGTGATATTTTTCCAACCTACCTTTTGCGGCAGGACCCAAGCACTACAAGACAGACCTTACCTATCCCTGTTTCATCAAATTCTTCCACATCTATGACCTGCGGTTGCTGTGGGGGGAACTGCTGGACTTGAAACTGGCGAGGTGCAGTTTTTGCTGTTGGGAAATCTTGCTGACCATAAAAAGACTCAGTTGAAGGTACTTCTGTTATGTCTTGGTATGAAGTCATAAAGTCTTCTGCAGCTAGGTGAGGAACACTGTACGTAATGTGGTGCTGGTCCCCTTCTATACTGTCCATAGTACTGGTTACGTGTTCCAGTCTTATTTCAGTGGAGCCATAATCAGCCATAAATGGTTTTGAAGTCATCTCCTGGTCTTGTTCAATGGACTCCAGGCTCTCCAAAATGCTGCTGATCTTGGCAGGCACAATACTGTCAGATGAGCTGCCAATCTCAAACACCCAGACACCCTGCCTGCCAGCATTGCTACTTCTGTCAAAGGGAAGCATATGCAAAAGAAATCAGTCAAGTACAAATTCTACAATACTTACATCCTACACATAAAATGTTGTAACTCCACAGAGAAATACCAGGGCAAAACTGCTGAGCTATGCATCTCTGCATATAACTAAATAGGTATAGTTTATTAAGCTATAACACACTTCAAAGCCTGGGCAGTGTTTCCCTTCCTCAGCTAGAGGTCTCCTTGAGAATTTTTACCCTCCTTGTCTCCAAAGAGATGGGAACAAAAGGAGGAAATATTTGAGCCACAAGCATCTTGTTAAACAGTCGTTAGAGCTTTCCAAAACACTTCCTTCTATTCTCGCCCACATTTTTACAGAAAAAAAAGCTGTGAAGTTGAAAATATTAAGAGATAAAGTTCTAAACAAGCGGTCCAGGTTTTAGAAGGCCTAAGTATATAACAGCTATCAGTGACAAGAGAACTGTGAATTTTTCTGACAAAGTAGACTGAAGTTCTTATATTCTTTGAGAGGGTGCATATTTGTCACTGGCAGGCAAAGTCTGCAATATCTCATAAAATCACTGACAGCATTTGCTATTTCTCATTGTCTCATGCTGCAATTACTAAAAAGAAAATGAAAATCCCTGCTGGTTTGGGGGAAAGTTTAAACAAACAAAAAAAGCATACTTCTGTAGGTTTCTGATGGCCTCTTCATCATTAGCAATGACATTGTAGGATCCTGGTTTTTCCCAAAAGTAGTAATTTGTAGAGGCTTGACTAAAGCCAACCATAGCAGGACTCCTTCTATCATCATTCTTGGAGTATGTACTATAGAACTGCAAACCATCTTCTGGATAAAGGAAAATAGCATAGGAACTGGAGTCAGAAGAGGCTAAAACAGCCTGGAATGTGTTTCTCTGTGAAGAAAATTTAAAAATCACTTACTCATGGAAAAATAGTCAACAACAGACAACAGGATGGTATTTTGTAAAAACACACATATTTTCATTTATTACCAAGAGGTAATGTACCATATACCTATTGTAGACTTGTCAGTCAATCAACTTTTCAGATAAATCAACATTAAGCAAGCTTACATTTTGCTATGGTAGTTTTTGCTTACATATCCGTAAGTATAAAAAGTTAAGTTGAAGGTGTCACAAAATAGCCATAGAGGCTGCTGAAAACACAGCGATTAAATTCTATAAACATGCAGAGCATGCTAGACAGTCTTTTTTAAAGTGATGCATGATGTGATGTATTAGACTAATTAAAAAGAGGTATGAAATTGATATGAGCATATTTATAAACAGAATAATTGAAGAGGAGTTTAAGTTTTATATTGTTGCAACTCTGGCATTCTCTGTAGGAACACTCCTACACACTATAGGAACCATGAAGATAGTGCCTCATACATCAGCTATTCCTCACTACCACAGTGTGCAACCATTACTGTGAAATGAAATAGCAGCAATACAAAAGCAAGTTTCTTCCAAATAAGCTACCTACTTCTTCATTCAAGGAAGATAAATAGTCTCCTACTGCAATAGTAGTTACAATAATGAGCTTTTTTGTGAATGCAACGTCAAAAAATGAGTTTATAGTTTAGTATAATTAAAGTTTCTGTTAGTCCATATACCTACCACATTTTGAATATCTGATGTCAAATAAAATGACTTAAGAGCCTGTCAAACAGCACAAGCCAATTGGATTACACTGCACAGATACAGGACATGACATCCTAGTTTGCAGTTATTGCCACATCACAAGTAACAGTTTCAAAATGTGCATTGTTGGGCAATATAAAAAAATTAATCTATTTAGACTTAAGCATTTTCTTCTACATGACTAATACTATAAAATAGAAGTCAAGCAAAAACTCTCATCTTGCTATATCCTTTTCAGCAACAAAAGAATATATTCTTAACTGCACAGGATTTATTCACTTATAAAGTAATTTAAGCCTTCAGAACAATAGGTTATGGTGTTAAATTACTGCTGAACACACTGTGCAAGATGCTTCAAAGCTCTGCTTAATGCTCACCTTTTCTTTCAAAACAACATCTTCTCCAGGGGCCTGGTAAGGAGCCACAAGCTTCCATGTAACAATCACAACACTGCTAGGATCAAAGGTGGTCTCAGGAAAACCTCCTTTGATGAAGTCTGAAGCAAGCTGTAAGACATCTGGGGATGAATCTTCTCTGTAATAAACGTTTCCATGTCCATCTGTTGTATCCAGATCAGCCATAAAAGGAGCAATAGCCCCAAAACTGACTGGGAATTGACCGAGATACTCTTCTTCATTTGAAGGTTCATTTACAGCAATAATCCCATTAGTTGAAACCTAACAAAAAAAGGGAGATTGTAAGATAAATACTGTTCATAAGACTCTCTCCCGCACCTTTGTGCTTGAAGTCATAGTATTTTCATTGCATTTCTAAAACAAATTCAGTCAAAAGCCAGTCTGGTATTTGTGAAGTAACTGAAATTGTACAAGTTTTGTTCTGATCCCAATCAGGAATCTTGGGATTTCAGTTTTCTAAGAGTCCTTATTAAGGATAAATGTAGGGATAAGCCTAAGCTCCCCAGAAGATGATTTTAGGTAGGTATTTTAATTTCAAATTTAAATTTATTGCCTTTTCCAACAATCTCCACATTTCATGTTTTTCCAGTTATCTCACAGACCCAGTGCATCCCTTTTGTGAGCAGTGCATGAATCCACTTAAATAATTACAAACACCCCTCACTATTTTTTGCTGTTACTCTCTTACAAAGTACTTTTACAAGAACATGACTTGGAATGGTGGAGAGGAAATAAATACTTGCAAAACTTTCTCCTCTGATTATCCAGTGAGGTAAACTCTTACTTAATGTTTAAAACAGAGACTATAGGGAAGCTGTATCAAAGGAACACCGCTTAGAATCTAACTTCCACTACGAAAGCGGAGGAGGCTTAGTCCAGCATAGAATGTAAAATTGTCCATTACTATAGAAGTCTGACACTGATAAAATAAGGGAAAGGAAAAAGGAAGCAGCTCTCTTAATCCCCCCACAGACACATGGAAATAGTCATGCAACAAGAGGTCGTCCTATTTCCATAAAAGCCTGTGTAGGTTGTTAGAAAGGGAGTGGGTCAGTTGAGATTTTCTTTCCTGCTACAGCACTGACTCAGAAAACTTCTGGGCAAGGTACCAGTCTACATAGATATGTCCATCTAAGAAGCTGCTCCATTCTGCTCAAATATTGCAAAAGTTTAGGTGAGTCTTTTGAGACGATGACAGAATTTACTTTGACTGGCCAGGGCTGTTCCAGTTTTCTCTTCTTTATAATCATCCACCGAGGAAACTTTTTGTCACTGTACAATGTAGACCATAATGTGCTGCTGCTTATTCCAGAAGCCAAGGAAACAGAATTTCTATGACAGATACAGGCCATTCAATAAATTCCTTCTCAGCAGGGAGTAACAATTCCTTTTCGTGTGTCCTGTCATAGTAATATGGAAAACTGACTCTGTTACTTGAGAAAGATTTAGTAGTAACAAACACATGTGAAACTCTTGGTCCAAAGACTGCAGCTACAGCTGGCTCAGGGAGATTTAACTGGCCAAGGAAAGGGTTATTCGCAGGCCACCACCTCCAGCTCAGACATAGATGCCAGGCAGGTCCTCACGTGACAGTTAACTCTCTCTACAGCGTACAGGCAGCAAACCAGGGCTGGCTCTCACAGACGAGGCAACCAAGACGAGGCAACCAACCGGTATCAGGCCCTGAAGCAGTGCATAGACTGCACTCCCACACACCTTTTCATTCTAGGCTTTTCTTTCAGGCAGGTATGACACCACAGGAATCAGACACTCACAAATACATTTTCAGGTGTTCGACTCCCTGGTGCCAGAAACACATATGACTACCTACAGGCAGCCATGCACTTGGGCTCTGGAGCTGCTGCCAGACATCCAGGTGGCTCACATGGGCACAGAGGTCTCCAAAACAGCACCTTGAGCTGTGAAACTAAAGAGCAATTTTCTACAGATTTGCCTCATTCATGTAATTTATTGCATGTCCAAGAAGAACGAATTGCTACTGTTCTTTTCCATGTTTGAGACGTTCAGAACCTACATAACCTTTGTCAACACCTGGAAGAACACAGAAATAGCCACAGTGACTCAGACCGCCAGAGCAGCTAGCCCAGCACCCTGTCCCTGGCAATGGCCACCAGCTCACAGCTTAAGAGCAGCAAGGGAAAGATGTGCATGTACCCCCAATACCAAGCAGCCCCTCACATTCAGCTGAAGGGATTCCCTGGGTTTGACTGTTTAGTCACCCTCAGTTGATCTCCTTCAAACATTTGTTAGGTCTTCCCTTGAACATATGTAAACGTTACACAAAATCTTTTAAAGGAATACCACAGAGCTGACTCAGACTCTGAGTTCTCTTCTGCCTTTTTGGTTGTTTTGAACTTGGCTCCCTGCTTCATTTGATGGCCGTTTTGTACTTGGACACATTCTCAAATGTTGTCATCTGTCATCTCTCTTCTGCAATTTCTCCTCCAGAGCAAAGACTTGCAGCCTATTTACTCATTCGCTGCCTAAAAGTCGTTCCACGCCTCTGATCATCCTCCTTGTCTGGGATTTTCTTCTCCCCTCCACCACTCAATGCTTCTGAAAACAAGGAAGCCAGTACTGAATATATCTGCCAAAGCACAGATGAACTCCCGATTTGCCCAGTGATATAATGGCAATTTCCAGTTTGTACTACATTCTTAATACTTCCAAACATTTGTTGTACTTTCACACTTCTTCTGAACCAATGTTTGAAACAATGTTTTCTTCGATTTTTTTTAAACATACCTCCAAGATCTTGCTCTGGAAGGACAACAACCAGCTCAGTATCTACAATTTTACCTGTGAAACTATGATGGCTTTTCCTTATTCACATTCATCTACAGTAGATTTCAACTGCTAATTATTATGTAGACAACCAGCACTGGGAAGTCCTTTTGAAATATCCCCCAGTCATTTCCAGAACATCCTCTAGCATCAGATAAGCACTGCACTCACACTGCCTTTCAGAGAAAAAATTATTAAAGGCCACTTCGCTAGAAGCGTGTAGGTTACTGGCATGAAACCTCTAGTGACCATAAAGATTTCAGGCTCCTAACTGTTAAATGTTGTTGAAATTCACCAACAGGTTCAGAAGCTGCTTCATAATCTCTTTTTTCTCAATAAAACCGAGCTAAAAAAACCTAAGCATCCCAAAATTCAGTTGCTGTACTGGTACTGTATTTGTTGCTTACGATATAAAATGAAAACAAAGAGGAAAAGAACAGAATTTGGCAGCCCACATGAAAACTATCCAAATTCTAATTAGTTCACTCAGCTCCAAGGAATGGAAACAATTATTGAACATACAGAGCAAGTTGTTCATAGACTAAGGCTTAATATTCCTGAAGAGACTGTGCAAAAACATCTGTATACAAGATGACATCAGCAGTGGCAGCAATGAAGAGGGGCCCCTCCACACCCACTCACTCTTCCCTCCTCTACAAATTTGCTACTGCAGCAAGCAGGAAATGGACAAGTTTTTCAATGCGTCTCACAGAAAACGAAGGGAGATTTCAGCACGTTTCAAAATTTCAGCATAACCTGCTGCAGGCTTATTTAGCACAGGTAACAAGCACTAAGTAATTAATCAGCATGGGGCACACAAGTCTTTCAGGGACCTTGGCTGCTTACAACTTGGCAACATCCTTTAAAATGCGGATCTCCATTAGTGCTGCTACAGGCAGCAAATCACAGAAAGAAAGAGGCTAGTGCAAGTACTTAAGCTAGAAATACCCCTTCACATATCACACACACCTACCCCTTGGACCCTCCCTTGCCTACCAAGGGTCAGAACACGTGCCCTGGGTATCAGTCACCTCGATACAGGATCATGGCTAACAGGACCCATTGCCTCAGCGTTACAAGTGGCTAACATGGTGCATCAGAAGGGATTTTAAAAAAGGGTTAACTGTATGGACTATATCAGCACCAGATGCATAAGCTATGCAGTGTAATAAACCAGTGTTTAGATGCTACAGTGAAAAATACTTCAGCAAAAGTTAAGAATGTGTAAAAAAAAAAAACAGGAAGATGCCTTTATTCATAAAAGGTATATGCAAAGTGTTTTAGCACTATGTGATCTGCACAAGCATACTCTACTTGTGACTTATTTTATTTGTGACTTACAGTGGCTGTAGACCCTAAAGAGAACTATGAATTTTAGGAGCATAGACTAAAGAGATAGCAAGTTTTACCGTGGTGCAGACTCTCCCCTCGCAGGCAGCCACGTGATACAAACCTAGTTCAGAATGGCTCCCCAAGCATCTGCTACACCTGCACACCACAAAACACCTTTCATCACTGTAAAGCAAAGCTAAGACTTATCCTGAAAGTTAAAGGTTCCATTCTACCACTTGAAGACAGCAGAAAAGATGGTCATCATTACAGTGGACTTGCGGAGGCACTTTAGCATGCGGGTGGACTCCACCATTAAAACTGGCACTTAACAGTTCCTGTTGTAGGTAGAGAGCAGGGATTTGTAGTGTCAGGTCTAAGTTTTTCCCTTACTTCTTGCTTATACAGTTTGAGACAAGTAGCCTGAGTCCCACTCTAAATATTCTTCTGAGAGATGCAAGGTGTTTGAAATAGTATAGAAATGGTACAGAGTATTTAACAGAGTTTAAGGGTGCAGACTTCAGGTCTGCATGCACCCTATACATGGAACAGACTAAAATAACAGTAAGAGAAAATTCAATCAAGACCACTAAATATTACAGAATAGGAAGCAGAGATCAGAAGAAACCATACCTCTTTTCAGATGCTTTTGGCTATTGATTTCTTAGATTACTAAAAAATTAAGTGTATCAAGTAATTTTATTAAGGAGATAAAAAACACCAACCATTCTCATTCTATGCTTGGAGCTTATAAATGAGACACTTCAGATTCAATGTTAAGGAAATACTTGAATGAAAATTGAAGGCTCTCTGCCACCTAGAAGACATTTGTAAATCCTTAAATGAAAATAAATAAAAAATGAGGATTTTGTAAAGAGATTCTAGTGTAGAGAATGAACTTTCATCATTATTGAAGAGAAGTTTTCAGTTTTCATATTATTAATACATTTATATTGACACAGATAATAAGTAGCATGATTTAACCTCACCCTGTTCCTTTTAAGCTCACACTAGTAAGTTAAAGTGTGGACCACTAAATAAACAGAAGTAATTCAGAGTAAGCACAGGGTTTCATTAAAGCAGCATTCCTGTCAAAAGGGAAAGAAAAGAAAAAGGCCTTAGGGGGG